AGTAACTCATGCTTTGGACTTAAGAAAGTCAATATAATAGTCTTGACATGTCAAAACTTTTGAATATGATTTTTTAATGAACTTCCAAGATCTTTGTGAATAAATTACTGGCTATGATATACCATTATTATATTTAGTTTGGATTTTACTCCTTAAGATCTTAAGAGGGTGCTTTTGGGAATATATAATTTCAGTGCAAGTATAAAAGTATTATTGGGTATAGGCACCGTAGGGTCTCAATGCATGTAAAATATTATTTATAAATTTATAAGACTATCAATTAATACAATTAACTGATAGCATAACGGAGGGTTGATCGTACCGACACTTATGATACTATTGAAGCCTTTGTGCCATATGTTTTGACGATTTCTTGTCGGCCAAGGAGCTGACAATTAACATGTTAACTATAACGAATTAAAATCTACTTACTTTTTTTTTAACATTAAAAATATTATCAAATTCATAACATTTAAATTGAAGTAAAAATGTATCATAAATATGATAATTATTACTAAATAAAAATTTATTGCATTGTTTAATTGAGTGGCTGAAATATTATTTTTATTTTTCAAACGGGAGAAGTTGTAATCATAATTCTGATTTGGGATAATGAACTAAAATTACAAATTGGGTTACAATTACGAATATATTATTTTTACTTATTTTAATTTATTAATTATTATTTTTATTTGTTCTAATTATTTTATTACTTGTAAAATTTTAAGCATAACAAATTTTAAGTATTCGTTAAATTGATTGGGGGTTCCTTAATTTTTGAAATCAATTTAACTTAGGTTATGTTTGAGATATTTATCTTCAGAGTTATAATGAATTATGATAGGTAAATTAAAGAATTATAAACTATATTTTATTTAAGCATCTAAAGAGTTCTATTGATATTTTTCAAGTTAAATTCTTTAAATGTTTAAATATACGTACAATGTAATAGTTATTTTTAATAATTAAAAATATTTTGATATTATTTAAAAAATTATTACTCTAATTTAGTTAATCAAATAAAATTAGAGTCCGACTCGAAGTAAATATGAAATTGATATGTTTGTTATTACGTTATTTTGATTAATAAAAATATTAATTTATATTTACTTTATACTCGAAACTTATATAAAATTTTTATCTACCACTTATCAACGGGTAAAATTTTTAACTCATTACTAGCTCTATTTATCTATTATTTGAATTTTAAAAATTCTTATGATATAATTTAAAATAATTATAAAAATATAGCAATAAACATTAATAACAAAAAATGATAAATTTAAATAAAACTAAGAATGTATCAATTTTATATAGTTGGGTAAGGCATTAGTGAATGTACATATTATCTAATTTATAAAATTTTAGTTACATATATCTCATAACCTATTAATTATATATTTTTACCTACATCATTTTAAAATAGGTAGGAACACACCACTAAATAACTTTCGCATGTACACATCCTTAATTTCAATCACAAAGACATTGTATGAATAATATATACTAATACCTTGTTAGATATATATATATATATATGCTAAATAAATTATATAGGAATATTTAATTAATTAAATATTTAAGAGGAAAAAATTCTCAAAAACTTTTTTAAAAAATCAAATAAAAAAGTTTCAATCACACTGGTCAGCAAATCACCTTCCTCCACGTGCCCTGTTCTCCCGCCACTCCACTGCTGGTTGCTAAATGCATTTCCCTCCCTTTCTCTCTCTATTTCCAGCTTGAACATTTCCTCTCTGTCTTCTGACTCGCCGGGCGGCTGATCCAGCTCTCTTTCTATCTCCTACGGGTAAAGTATGTTCCAATTCAGATCGTCCTCTATCTTCTCGGTTTCTATTCCACTTTCTGTCTGTTTCTTTGGAAAATTTTGGATTCTCAACTCAAACGCCGATGTCCTTCTTGCATTTTCCTATCGGCGTTTGAGTTGTTCAGTCTGGTACATGAAGTTGATTTGAGGATGATATTTTTGTTCTAGGTCAAGGAATGATGGAAAAACTTTATGTTGTTGGAACAATCAGCGGAGTCAGCGAGCTAAGTTTCTTGCACACTTTTTTCTATTTTCCCTTTTTTTAATTCAATTCATTATGCTGGATATATATGGATTTTTTGGAAGTTAATATCGTACTTCCATGTGCTTGGATGATAAATTTTTACCAGACATATATGCATGATCTTTGTATACTGGATACTGTACATGCTACTAGTCCAGTCTCCGATTTTGAATTTTCTTGCTCATAATTATATTATTTTATATTTTTCAGCAGGAAAAAAAATGTAGTGCATTCTAGGCATCATTCTTAAGTTAATGCTGATATTGGACAGAAGTGTCTCTTTATGTTTATATATATTCAAGCAAAATTTAGTTTCGTCTGTTTTTTTTTCTTGAAATAATTTTGGGGAATGGGAGGGAGAAGAAGAAATCTCTGAGGAAATTAAAACCCGTAAATTAAATGAAATAGATAGGAAGATTAACGATTAAAAAATTGTAAAATAAAATACAACTTCCGAATCGGAAAAGGAAAAAAATCGAAACAATTTCTCCAATACATAGTGTTACATTTACTGCCCCTGGACGCAATTAACAACCTCTCCGCCTATCTTTCTCTCTGGTTTTTCTCTCTGTCTATATCTCCCTCTCACTCTGGTCTTCTTCCTCAATCTAGGCTCTCTGTTTCCTTCTTTCTCTCTTTGTTTTCCATTCTTTATTCTTCCAAGAAACATGGAGTTGGGGACACTGAATGTTGACATCACTAAGTTCCTGCCAATAACTGATGATCGTGAGTGCTTGACAGTCAGACTTCGAGTAACCCACATTTATGAGGGGGTATTACGCCATCTTGAAGGTAGGGAAACCGTCTTGAATCGACTAGAATTATTTCCACCTTCTCGTACAGTCTTCTACCTCCCAATAGACCAGCTCTCACAATCCACAGACCACCGCGACTTTCTCAACCGACTCACTAGTTTCTGTCTCGGTAGTGGTCTCGGTAGTGGGTTAGCTGAGGAAATGGCTACTGAATTGCTCGTTCGTTTCGAAGGGATATCCGTTGCCGGCTCCTCCAACCACTTATCGTTTGACGTGATGACTGTCTGGACTAGTGTTATTTTTGAGGAAGTGCTCGCTTATGATAGGAGCGATCTAGGCCAGGCCGAGTTTGATTTTGGGGGTGGCAACCGGGATAGTTCTGCAAATAATGGGGCATTGACCTTCCTGCTTGAAAAGCTGAGAGCAGAGCGGAGGGTTGATCGTACCGACACTTGTGACGCTATTGAAGGCACCTGTGCTATATGTCTTGAAGATTTCTTGTCGGCCAAGGAGCTGATTGACATGCCGTGTCGCCGCATCTTTCACGAGTCATGCATCTTTTGCTGGTTGCGGACGAAAAAGTCCTGCCCCTTTTGCCGTCAAAGGGTTGATCTATGAGTGTTCATTCATTTGTAGAAATTTTGCTACGAGTTAGTAAATTGTCAGATCATATTATACTTGATCTGAAAGATTAGGTTCTTTTTTCTGTCTTAGTAACTTCTCTATAGGTTGTAAACTTGAACTGTACTGGGTAAAGAATTTTTCAAAGAATTTTTGTTTGTACAGAGTTTGTATCCTAAATACCGTACACCACAAAGGAGAAGATTTGTTCTTTGTTGGAATGACTTCTGTTTTTTGTATCAGAAATTAATATACACAATTCATTTTTTTTTATAGTTTCAGTACTATATTACATCGATTTCTTTACTTTTCTGTAATTTTTGCAATTAATAAACTGATTACTTATTACATTTTTTATTTATAGTGGTAATTAAATATTATTTAACGGATTTGATATTTGTTTGGTATTGTTTGAGGAAAACAAAAAATCTTTTAGTAGCAAGTTGCAACTAGTAATGAGATATAAACACCAATCTTGGAGCATTACCAATACCGTGAACTCAAACTTTGGCCTTTAAAGCAACTCTTCTCTATGCACCAATTAACACAAGCTATTAGTGCAACAAACTATAATGACTACTAATATTTAAAATCTCATTGATAATATTTAAAAGAATCTTAATGTTATCAGTATTAATATTAATATATGTGTATTTTTAATGACACTCACACGCACTTTTTCTTTTTCTGTGTATAAAGTCATCAATAGTTTTTTTATTGTCATCTTATAAGTTATTAGTAACACCCACTTAGATACTTATAAGCATGTGATAAAAATAATTGGTAGTTAATAATACGTTTTCTAGTGATACTCTTTCTGAGAATATTATGTTTTAAATTGGATTTGAATGAGATTTGTGATTTATGATTATAGTTACTTTATGATGTTTTTATGATTTTTGTTATATTATCTCAAAAGGTATTTTTCATAAATGAAAAAAATCATTCAGACATAACTGCGAAAGTTCACATTGAGATCAAATATTGATGTAAGTCGAACCATGCATTCTTCAATTATTTTTATATGTTATATTCTGTTAATTATATCGAAGTGATTAGAGAATTACAATTGAAAAAATAAAAAAAAAGTTAGGGATGTAAATAACTTTAAAAAATTAGAATAGAGTTGATAGAAATTTAAAGATGGTCGAAAAAAGTGGAAGTATATCGATTGTTGCATTTTTACGGCGATATAAGGCAAAGATGACACAGACAAGGGAAGCTACACAAGCAGAGAATTTGACATCTTATTTTTAGGTAAAATAATTTTTGTAAATTTTGAATAGGAGACTAAAAATAAGCTGGACTTGTGAAACAAAATTAAATTTGCATATGGATATTTGTTTGCCTGGTGATAATATGTCCTTACAATACTTAACCATACATTTAGATCATATCAGTTTTAAAGAATAAAGAGTTAGAAATAAAAACTTTCTTACTTGTTGTAGTTGTATTTATGTGAAATTTGTTTATATTAATGCTGAAAATTATTTTTATATTGCTGCTTGGAAAAGTGAAAACAAAGAGGATACTAAATATAATTAGTATGTTTTGCTTTATATTTTTTAATTGATGAAGAAATAGAAAACTGAGAAAAATTTACTCAGTTTATATTAACTGTTAAAATTTTTGAAATCATTGTTATGGGTAGATAGCATGCTTAATTGATGTGAAGTAAATATGAAATCTTATTTATTGATATTGCATGCCTATCTTGTCATTGCATAATATAACCAAATTCTTATATATCACACATATTTGTAGCTAATTTTGTATCTTGTCATGAACTCCGTAGAAAAAGCTATTAAGAAAGAAATAAAAGTTTATTGCATAAGAAAGAATTTTGAGGAAGTAGCTATAATATAAATCAAAACTTTGTTATGCGACGATATGATTTTCAACAGAAAAAAATCCGAAAAATG